GTGTGCTTACATTGAAATAGGGGTTGATAAGAAAATGCATACAAGGTGCCCTGCTTCTAAGAGACAATAACTGCTGCCCAGAGCATGCCTCTTATAAAGGGTTTCAACTGTATTTGGAAGTGCTGCAGGGCCTTTTTAAGGTTTAAAAAATAGTAATGAATGAGGTAACTCTTCATCAGTTTGGTGGGATCTGTTTGATTTTTATATCTGATCAAGGATAGTTCTAGCCACTTTTGCTGATCCTGCTGGGTAAGCTGTAATAACATCCTGGAACTGCTAACATTGCATTGCCTAAGCGTGCCATATGATTCCCAATCATATCAAATCTTTTTTTGTGTGTGTGTGTATTTCTACGTAACAATATTGTAAACTTTCTCTATTCTTGTCCATGCAAATTTTACCTATAGACTATTTTACGGAATGGTTTCAGTGCTGTCACAGTTGGGCTGTTAACTTTTGTGTTATGCATTTTCAACAACTAAATAGAAAGTGTTATGGTATACGCATAGACATGAAAACTGTTCAGTTGGATCATATGATTTCTCATGGCCTTATTATTTTGCATTTCAATATACAAAAACAAGAAAACATCGACTTAACGGCTCCAGATGACGATGCCCACATGTTTTAGGTAACATAGTCTATAGCATTAGGGTGGTGAGATTACCATCCTAACAAGGCAGTCTGTTATTGCTGTGAAACTACTATTACATTTGCTCTTCTTGCACCTTATGTGCTAATGCTGGTTCATTGGTTTCAAGAGAACATCCTTGGAACCATGAAGCAGAGCTGTGGAAAAATTTTACTGTTTATCTTTGCCTTTATCCTAGTACTTTCCTGTTCATAATTAAAACAATTTTCTGCAGTTTCAGTTTTTTTTTATTTCAACTGATATTGACTCCTACTTGCTATGAATGATATTATTAGGTCGATGTGAATTCGGTGATTGATGTCAGTCTTGCCCCGCCACGGTGGTCTAGTGGCTAAGGTACTCGGCTGCTGACCCGCAGGTCGCGGGATCAAATCCCGGCTGTGGCGGCTGCATTTCTGATGGAGGCGGAAATGTTGTAGGCCCGTGTACTCAGATGTGGGGGCACGTTAAAAAATCCCAGGTGGTCAAAATTTCCGGAGCCCTCCACTACGGCGTCTCTCATAATTATATGGTGGTTTTGGGACGTTAAACCCCACAAATCAATCAATGATTGATGTCAGTCTTGACTTCTAATGCATTTAAGAGGATACATGTAAAATGTGTTACTACTGGTTCAATCTAACGAACTCAGCAGGAAATGAAGTAAAAAAAAGATTTAGGGGACATTATTTGAAGCTTTAATTTGACTTTAATTATTATCACACTATAGAAATCAATTCAAATGGGACAAAAAAACTTTTGTTCGTGTGGACCAATGCCACAATCTTTGAACGGTACATCCAAGGCTCTGCCACTTCAGCTACAATGGCGTTCACTCCCAGTCCGTTTTATGTCAGAATTACTACATTGTAGTTAAACACTACAAATAATCCCCTTATGCCTTCCTTAACTCCAATAGGTTGTGTCTAGGAAAGAAAAAAAAGCCCCCTAATCAATTTTTCTTTTTAATACTACGGGTTGCATGCTGTAAATGGAATATATCAATAATGCACTGAAACTGAAAGTGTTTTTCTTAGTTATGTAGGGTAAAAAAAATTAATTTGGCATTGGCCATGCAGAGGAAATGTATTGCAGATTGAGATTGGATATGATTTTTTGCATGTTTCTTCAATGTCGGTTGAACTCTTAGATGTATTTTTAGAAGTGATGTAATATACACTCCGTAGTACCTTTGTTAATCATTTTATTTCCCTAGTGCTTGTGTAGTTATTTATTTATTATTTTATTTATTTATTTATTATATCTTCAAAGGCTCCGTATGGAACTTCACATGAGGGGTGGGGAACATAAAAAAAAAAGGGGGCAGTATCGAAGGTAATGGTTAAGATACAGCTGAGTCTGCTTCTTGGATGTCATTCTTGAAGAGCGCAGGATCGCGGATGACTGCCACGTCTTCCGAAAGGCCATTCCAGTCTCGGGCGGTGCGGAAGAAAAATGATTGCTGTAAATGATGTGCTGTGAGCTTGTGGCGGAGTCGTGGCATTTAAATTGCTTCTGTGATGACCTCGATGTTCTTTTTAAGTGATCAAGTTCATTCTTTTTCAAGCTTTACTTAAAAGAAAAACATCATAAAGTGAGATACACAGGTGCTGATTTTTTAGATGGCTTATGCTCTTTGGCACACATTGTGCATACACCTCCAGTCATCAAGACCCTAAACATGTGAGGAATCATTAGCTAATTTTTCAGGGACTGTAGCACACGTCTGTGGAATTCAAATGGGTGAATACTGGAGATCTGTTTATTTAGTAGTGGCCTTTCTGAGGTTGGCACAACTTTTTTAAAACAGGCAGCCCCAAAATGGGCTTTAGTTTAAATGAATTTTTTCTCTGAATTACCTTCCCCGCTAAACTATTTTATGGGGAATGTGGAATGTTGTGACTTTGACACAAAAGGGAATAGTGTGGTGTTGAACTCTTTAGACATTTGTAGGCTATGAATGAAGAGCTGGGGGCATCTATATAAGGGACCATCTCGGTATAATTCTTACCTCCACTTGCACTAACCATCTCATGCCTTCCTCGGTATTTTTTGTAAGAATTGTTGAATAATTGCATTGCACCTAGGCATGAGGCACTTACTGCAATATCTATGATGGTGCTCGAGCAAATGCTTGGTGACAAAACCATTGGCTACTGTTTCACCCTTGTGCCTCCTGCTTCACATCTTGTTCCTGTGCTTCATTAGATCAGTTCAGCTTATAACAAGGCTGTCGCACAGCAGCATTGCACGTGCCACATTATAATGAAAGTTATCCTTCAAACAAATCACGTTGCACACAACTGTAAAAAAAAAAGTAAAGTGTCCAACGCCAAGAGCAGCACATTCGGCATTAACAGGAAAAAAAATACCGAGGGACAGCAGTGGCCACACAATGCCATGTAGGAAGCAGGTTCACATGCAATTGACTTGTGAGAATAGTTCAGCTAATACAATAAGATATGCATGTTCCTGCTTCATATTTGAGCTATAACCAATATCTAGACCAGGTTATCAGCTGGGTGCAGGCAACTGATTGCTTATGTAGAATGCATAATGTGCCTGGACTGAAAGCATGCAACTTTTCAATCGTTAGTACACATTATACTGTACTAGTTATTATACTGGCTCCACACAGCACTTTGCAAGAAGCTGGATTTTGATGCCTCTTGTACGAACATATCATCAGGCTAACTGTGACGTGTAGATTCGGCAAATTAGTACATAGAGGAGGTCAATATTTATTTTTGCATTGATTAAAAGCAGCAAACTAATTTTGTGTGTGTGTGTGATGAGTAAAGGATAGGCACAAGGCATGTGTTGAACATGGAAGCGCCGCGACGGTGCGCGAGGAGAAAGAGAGTCACCAGAGAGCATGCGCACCAGCCATGGAAACGCAAGAGATTGGTCGGAAAAAGGCTCGTGGCATGTGACCGGAGCCGAGAAGAAAAAAATTCCAGAGGATTAGTTCGCACTGTGTGTTGGCGTCATTGTGGCAAGAGACAGTTTAAGGCTTAGGATTAAACTTGTCTTGGATCGGAGTTTGTTATGATGTCCTTGTATTGCCGATTAGTGTGTACATACTTCTTCCATTTCAAGGAGTGAATCCAAAGTGTCAGATTACCGTTTGCCGTTTTGTTGGGTGTGATTAAGAGTGTCTTGCCACACCCGCATCTCTCCCTCTCAATTCCATCCAATGCAAGTGCTCCTGAGATAAAATTCGTGACAGTGTGTGATTAACTCTGATCAAGGAAAAAATGCAAAGAAAAAATGAACCAAGAGAGCGATCATTCTTGATATACTTAAGAAGGGATACTCACCAGGGTTAGCCATTGTCAAAGTATGAGTGCCACGTTCACATCATGTGCTGATGACCCTGTCTGCTGAGTATTGATGTAATGGAAGGTGTTTTGGGGGTCTGATTCGTTTTGATGTTCAAACGTGGTTTTTCTTATTTAGTTCCACAATTTGCCATAAAGTGGGGAAGAGATGAGAGATCAAGTACTTTTTCTTTCATGTCTTCTCTATTTATCTGTTCAATATAGTAAACATATTTAAAATTTATGTCTCAATGTCATAGTCATTCACAGTGCAAGGACAGCTGAAATGCCAAACATAAGTGGGTGGGCCTTTCCTGTCGACGTAGCCTCACTTTCCGCTGGAGAGTCAAGATCACGCACAAATGTTCTTTATTCGAGATGCTCTGCCTGCGACATCATTTAGCATGAAAGTTTGAGTTTGCTTAATTATCCCATGGTGAATCTGCACTGCTACTGCTTTGAGTGATGAATGAAAGAAGCACGAAAATGAGGGCTGTAGAATTCATAATGTGAACATAACATGGATCTTCTGCTCTGGTATTCGAAAAGGTAGAGGAAGAAGTGTTTTTGAAGTTGCTAGGCAGTGGGGCAGAGCATCTCTCTTGGAAGTGATGCTTTCATCCGTGTGGCATGGCAACATGGCATATGGATTGCTTCTTTTATCTGTAATAATAAACCAGTTTGAAAAACTATTTTATAATGTGCCATCTGAGCAGCATGTCAGCTTCTTAAGGGATGCCGTAGAAGTCCCAATTTATTATAACCAATATTTGTGATTGCTCCTGGCAATGGGCTCTTTCAAAGTGAAGCAGTTTTGTAAATGTAGAATGTACTGTTACCCAAGTTGTAGTGGTAGTCAGCTCACCGCTGCTTAATATGTTTCTCCAAAGAAAACAAATGTAATGTGATATATTGTACCGTTAGAGGTTGTTGAAGCTATCCCAACTGTTTTGATGCTGTTTAAAAATGGAGCGTGTAGCTCTACCTCACATTACACATGTAAAATGCTTTCCATTCATTGTATTTATGGCTTTTTTTTTTTTTTCAAGGCATCCATGGAACCTCAAGGTGCTTACCAACAACCCTGGAACTGTTCTACGCTGTATGGGACCTGTATCAGGTGAAACAACATATGCATGAGGCACATTTAGAAAAAATAAAGAAGTTTAAAAAATTCAGAAGCATTATTACAAAGAGACATATGTTGCAGGGGTTACGATTCCAACGTTGCACCTTAGCATGCTGTATACAACTGGCTGCTGGTACAGAGACCCTCACTGCTTACCGTGGATTGAGTACCTTCACACTGGTGCAAACAAGATCTGGTAAGTGTAGAATGACTGTCTTGAGGCCATTTTTTGGACTTTTGTCTTTTTGGTTGGGGAAATTGTCACAGGCTGTGTGTATTGGCACAATTATTGAAAGTGATAACACTGTTTTTCAGAGTTATTTTTTTTGAAAGATTTTTCCTGTACTATTCGTTACGTGTTTGAAGCTATTCAGCAAAGGCTGTCATAGTGTGCAATCGCATTTGCTTTCAAATTCCACTATCTGCCCTCATCATCTGACCATATAAGATGCCTTAGATGTTAAAAAAAATTACATTTAATTTGGTTCTTTTTTTTTACAAACGAGTATCAGCAAGGCAGTTGCTGTGAGAATCTATTGCTTTACATGTTTTTCTAGTAAGTCCTTTCTTGCTGTCTTAGCAGTGTGTTTCTTTTATAATTTTATTGGTAACTTCTAATATAGTTTTGGCTTTATCAGTTCACTATACTTAATCCTGCAGTCTGCTTGTTGCATAGAGAGAGCTAGAAGGTGTGGTGGTCCAACTTGGTGAAACAAAACTTCACTTGTGTGGATTTTTAGTGTGCGCACATCTGTGAAACTTCTTTTGCCTAAATTTGTCTCCAGCATCATAAAGTTCAAAAATCATGAACAATACTTACTACAGATGCAAAATTATTTGTATACATGTGTTGTCTTTCTCAGTTGCTCCATCCTCCTCAGAAAGATTGACACAGGCATAGATTGATACAGTACAGGCCGCTTATTATGTAGACACAGGCATAGATTGATACAGTACAGGCCGCTTATTATAAAACCATTTTACCGTCCATAGAACTTCATGTATATGCATACCACTTATAACACGAATTTCAAAAGTAGTGAGCGCCCGTCACAACAAAGGTGCACTGCGAACCGAAAGAGGAGTAGATATCGAGCGAACGAAAGAGCCTAGAGATTTCTGTGCAGTGTGCCAGCAACGCGTTGTGAACACGCAAAGTCGGGAAAAGATGCAGTTGCCAAGTTGACAGAGAAACCTTTATACTGGCTTGGCTTCGACAGTTTGTCAGCTGCGTGCGCTAAGTGAGCAACATGCACCAGTGCCCACATTGAGGGTATGTTACTGTTGTTTGTCTGAAACACAAGAGTTTCCCATTCGTTGCCCTTGCTTCATTGCGTGAGTGTGATCTCTTTGACACCAGATCTCTATGTTTAGGCAATCTTCGCATGACGTGCAGGCATGACCTAGTGAATGCCACCTGCCTGGTCCATAGCAACTTTTGAAGAGATACTGAAGTGAACAATGAATCAGTTTAGATTGATACAGTGCATTCAGAATAGTTTAACATAGTCGATTGCACCATCGTAGGTTTATTAACAGAGGAGAAAATCAAGAACAAAGTTTAATTTTTAAGTGTTGCACTGAAATCTGTGCTCGTGACGTCACGGCTTTCAAAGTGCGTTTTTTGTATTTGCGCAAAATTAGCTCAACGAATATTTTTTACTCTTTGTATGTTAAAGGGGCCCTCTAACGCTTGAAAACATTGGTGCCGACTGCTTAACTTGTAGTGGCGCTCGTCAGAACTACTGCAAGCGGAAATTACGCCGGAAGGTTGCCGCCATATGATTGGATAAATGTAACTTTAAATGTCATCGCGGCATTGGATCAAAATAGAGATTACTATTGGATTTATTTTTTATTACCATGATTTTTCACTGAAAGCGACAGAGAATAAAGCTCTCGGACTTTTCCAGCTTGAAAACTTCAAAGCTGGTCAAAGAATGCACCGAACTCCATGTGCTGCAGGAGACACACAGGCGACGCTCCGGGTGCCGTTATTTGAAAAAACTCAAAGAAAAAAATGTAAGAGCGTTGATATATATACATAATTGAAAAAAGAGAGATCAGAAGCATTCACAAGCTGGCTTGTTTCGCACGTGTCGTTCCCTCTTCAAACCACATTGTTTGTTACCATCGCAACGGCGTTCTTAATACGCTGGACGTAACAGGCAATATGCCATGCGAGCTTCCTGTACAGTAGGGCTTTCAGTTAATTTCATTAGGCAGCCTTCCGACGTCGAAGGGCGAGGGAAACACGGTAAGGTGGGCCCGCGAAAATCAAGTTCAAGGTAAGCATCCATTTTATTGTATTTTCATATCTCTATGCTGAATAACTTTGCGCTGCGTAGCCCTATCGCGGCCGTTCTTGCGGCACTTATCTCCTAAGCCGTCAGTGTACGCAACCAGCTAGAAAAACATGTAAAACTATGAAGTCGTGAAAAGTGTTAGAGGGCCCCTTTCTGAAATGCTTTTTCAAGTAACCACGGAATGAATTCATTGAAAAAGCTTAATTGCCTCACGAACTCAGCACCACAAAAATTTTAGGAATCCGTCCAATGCGAGTGGAGTTAAAAAGGTTTGTGGCATGCTGCAATTGCATTCTTTCTTCTCACGTCTCAACGAAAGCACTGGATGCTAAGCGGGGAGGGATGGCAGGGCCACAGAAAAACGCCACATGCGCCTCGAGGCCTTAAGCACTTTTTAATTTTTTTTCTCCGAATGCGCCGCTTTTTAGGTGTGATAGCGCGCACACGCGTGGACAAGTAGCGGCCTCCCGCGGCGATCTCTGTAACGAGCGAGCACACCATGTTCGAATCAGCCAATGGCTAATAGATGGGCAATTCAGGTGGGGTTTTGGGGCCTGTTCCGCCATGTGTTGAGAGAAGAGAAAGCAATTTTCAGCTGATATTGGTAATTTATTGTGAGTTCCAGGCCACATGCTGTGCTATAATATTTGGCTCGCGTGTTGTCGGGGGCCTCTACTACCAATCCGCAGCGTTTTCTGTCCATGCTCAAAAAGTGTTCCAGGGCTCTTTAAGTCTGTGGTCCCCTCAGAGGACAGTGTACTTTATTTTTATTGATAGAGAACTATGTAGGATCTAGTAAGCACTGTCAAAGCTTGTGTCACTGTATTTAAAGCAGGAACTTCCATGTGGCATCGCCATCAGCATTTTTTCACCACACATCTTATTTTAGCTAGCATGGTGATATTGGCACTGTGAAAAATAAATTTACTAATGGGGTAAGAAAAATTGTTTTCTTTTGTAGGGTCCCTTTAATGTTGGGGTTTGTTACCAAGTCCACTAAACCCTTCTCAGTAGCTGCAACACTTGTGTGTGATGATTTGAGGTTGTTCTGGACATGCGCACACTCCTGAAAACTTGGAACGTATCACACATACGTAGTGTGTAATTTGGTCGCTATTAAACATTATTTTTGTGCAGTGCAGTTTCAAATAGATAAGCCTGCATAATTCAGGAGGTCCAAAAAGTTTATATACGACTTTCAGCGATTGTGTGTGCACGTGTAGTGTGTTCATTTTGTCAGCAACGCAGGTTCTCGGTCTTACTCTTCTAGCATTTTTGAGCCAGAAAGAAGGCTAATAGCCACATGTTTTCCATTTGTGCAGCCTTTGAAAACAGCTTGTTTTAATTAAATTTTCATGCTGCTTATAGTGCAAATATTTGGGATTCCGGTGACTTGAGTTAGGAGCACTCTACGCTCTACATTGTGAACTGACGCCATCCGCACTTCCCTGATTGGCTCAAGCACTGCATACGTAGTCTTTTGTGCACTGTCACTAGATTTGAAAATAAAGTATAGCTGATCAGTTTTTGTTACATTGTAGCTCCATATATACTCTATCAACAGAGAATGCAGTATCGTAGTTATTTGATTGTAATGCGACTCATGGTTGTAATGTGAAAGGCAACTTCCAGGGGATAAAAATAAAACAAAAATGAAAGGATTGTGTGTATCAATGCACTTTTTAGGCAAGTTGACTTTGGTTATTTGATTGTAACACGAGGGTTGACTTCAGGTACCAAAAATCTGGAAAAAGGCGCATGTTACGTTAAAGTAAATATGGTACTCAGTCATAAAAACCAAAAGGCATTTATTGCATCTTTTGCACAATATTGTCAGCTAGCTAAATTACATCCTCGATAAAATGCATTGAGGTATTGAGGATGTTGTACTCATCATTCAAAAATACCAAGCCAATACATTCACTTCTTGCTGGTCACTCATGACCATGTCATTTTCAAGCAAAGTATGTAAATCTAGGCATACTTAAGGGATTGGATGATCATCTGCACATCTCTTCCAATTAGTGCATTGTCATGTGCATGGCATGATGCTCCACAGCTTCGAAAAAGGGAAGCAAGTCCCCCTTGCACATGAGTGCTTGCTTGTATCTGAGTTCCCCTTGCCTTCAGATGGCTTTAACATCAACACTCTAGTGTTGTGTCCTATACAACTGTGCAACTATGCAGACTTTTATTTTATGTTGGGAAAACATTACCAAGGAATTTAAGAGTGTTAAAATGAAATATGTATTTGTTATCAACATTACTGCACACTTTTAGTTCTTAAGCCTGGATTTCTGTGATTACTCTATGCTGGATTACTGGCATGTGTTATTTTCTGGCTGTTCTTTTTTTAATGTCATTGGAAATGTAGTAAGAAGTACCAATGAAACGAAGTATAGCTAACTGCTCAAAAATCACCTTCGTAGAAAGTTTCGGTTTTTCACTGTGTGTTTCTTAACCAGAGGTTAGTATAGTACCTGAATGAGATTTGTTTATAAAATCAGGTTCATGAAGACCATTTGGCGTGCAAATGGGTAAATGCTTTGTTGAATCCTTGTTTTTTTGCGGTGTTCACTTCTGTGCAGTTATTGCCAGGTCACTGCTTCATATGAATTTTCTTAATGCGCAGGTACAGTGTTCCAGCACACAGCTCAAACCGGTTTCGTGCAGCCATGAAGGAGATAATGCCTCAGGTCTGCAAGGACAGTGTTATCTGGCTTCCTTCAGACTGTGCTATGGTAAGACGTGCCTTGTGATGTTCAGGCTTTAAGTTTGTGGGTAATAGCTAATCTTTTGATTACGTGATAAAACTATTATATTGCAATAGATATGTTAATTAGGTAGATTTCCATACAATAGAGTTAGCTGGCGTATATGTTGCAATGCGATTGCTGCTTGCAATGCCAACCTATCGACTAAAGAGAAGCGGGCAAGGCTGCAGTACTCTAATTGTTGTTTCCGCTTTGGAACACGAAACCACATCGCTAGAATGGGCAGGAAGTCATTCAATCTTAGATGTGGTACCTGCCAGCGACGCCACCTGACCATCCTCTGCGAGTTATCATGCCCAGCCGAAATTCTACACCCCAACGCAGGATCCCCAGCATTTTCTCAACCACCCCCATTAACCATGCCAACGGTGACTACCACCTAGAGTCACGTTGAGCCCACTCGCGTATTGCTACAGACAGGTCGAATTCGGGCAGAGTCTGGAGACCACCGACTCCTCGTGCGGGTACTGCTGGACAGCGGCAGTCAGCGCACCTACATTCGTGCAGACCTGGCTAGAATGCTTCTGTGCTCCGTAGTGGGAAAAGAAGAACTCTCTCTTGTCACTTTCGGAGAATCCAAGCTATGAAGGCGACTCTGCACCGAGCGTGTTAACGTGCGGCTTCAAAACCAGTTCGACAATTCAACGATTACCTTAGAAGCGTTGACGATTCCTAAAATTTGCTTTGTCACAAGCCCACCACTCGACTACAACATTTCGCACCTACTTCTGGAACGGGAGTACAACGTAGCTGACCACTTTTAACCGAGTACGTGGCAACCGGACGAGATCAGTGTCATCGTAGGATCCGACGCCTATTGGAAGGTCACCACTGGCAAAATCAACCGTGTAACTGAAACACTAACAGCAATAGAGACAATGTTTGGCTGGATGGTACAGGGACCCTTGTCGTTTGACAGCAACCAGTGCCCATCTAGCACACTGTTCGTCTTGAGCCGCAATCCTTCTGCAACGCACACAGACATCTTCGATGTGGCGTTTTGGTGCCATCAGGAGCGATAAAGTGTCTTCACGAACCTCAAACAGGCACTACGATCTATCTGTATGGGAGCAAGGTGTTTCGATCTCGGGAAAGAAGTGCCATCAGCCTGACTACGCGGTTTCTGGCCGCAGCAACTTGGAAGACGTGGAGCCGCGGAACAAGCATGTAGATGCTCGTCAATGCCATGTGCATCGACGTCATCAGAGCCAGCGTGTCCATGGTGACGTCGTACTTGAACAACTCGTCTCAGACCAGCCGCCTTTTGGGCGACGACGACAACAGGCATCGCGTATTCGTAATTCCGCACGCCCAGCACGTTAGTCTAACGCACGTCAAGAACACCCTCCGTCTCCTCAGCATCAGTTCCAGAGACAGCAAGGGGTGCGACAGCCACGAATCGACGGCCGTAGTGCACAGGCACTCTCGGTTGCAAAGCAAGTGCTTTTCAACACGAACTGCGTTCTCCGTGGGTATGATTCTCCTTGGCCCCCCTGGGATGATGTTGAATAATAATGCGGATCAGAACAACATAGAGTGGTCCAGACTTCATCGAAGTGTGCGAGTCATCTTGGCCCCCATGGGAGGATGCTGCAGAATATTCTCTCGGAGCGGGCCAAACTATCGAAGAGGACGAAGTGGAGATAGGCATGCGTTAGAAATGGACAGCTTGGGCTCCATGCTGAATAAACGGGTCATCTCCGTCTAACGTCTGCGGACCTGTCATTTTGTTATATATGTCTTGAATTTTTCATGTGATTTGTGTCAAAGTTTCTGTTCTGGACTCTGGATGCCAGAGTAGGGTGCTTCAGATGGGTAAACCATGCAAGAAGTAAAACTGTACACCCGTACATGAAAAAAATGGTCACTATTGCAGATACTGTTGAAAAATTAGGATTTACTGCTGCATAGTGTTTGAGAAGGGAAGAAGTATAAGGGAATGTTTCTAGACAGCTGTGGTGATGTAAGCCTAAATTTGAATTGTTGATAGCATTAGCTTCTGCATTTTTTACAGTACAAACGATGCATACATTTATAGCTAAATGAAAAGGGGTGCTAATTCACTGCTGCCATTGAGCCAAAAATAAGTGCTCTGTGCTGACTATTCACCACATATGTCTCAAAGGGACGCGAACATTAAAGGCAAATATTATGCTGACATTAATTGTTAAAATAGTGGTCCAAAAACCTCATGGCACTGCTAACGTGCTAAGGAAGTGCTTAGTATTTTGAAATAAAATCATGTTCAAGTGGGTTCCATAGCATTAGCGCACATCAAGTCATTTGCCTGAAGATGGACCTTCCGTAATATTGGCCTTCCAACGTAGCTGTTGCCTTGCCCAATGTTGCCTGCATCTACTCTACGCCTGCCTACACTAGTAGCAGCACAGTGAAAGTAGCGGGAGCCACAGCAACAACAACGGCGATTGAAGCTTGTCACGATGGATGTCTTTGAGGAACCCGACGAGACATTGGCTCCTGACACCAGCGTAGAGGCACAGCAATCAGCCACTTTGAGCATAGGAGTTGATTTTGGGGCACCCAGTGGAAAGTCCTGTCAGTTTATTTGCTGCAGCTCAAGCAGCATACACCATTTGGACATTCGGCGACATCACTTGCACATAGCATTTTGTCGAACTTTCGTGAGCCCGCAATTCACATGCAGCAGTATGCGATACCTAAACTACAACTGAAACGTGACCACATGAGCAAAACACAGGTGAAAATGGAACTTCTAGACCACTTGCACCATTCCCTACGGTAATGCCAAGGGGTTCTTATTTCCATGGATCAAAGAGAAACGGCCAAGGAGCATTTTATTATGGGCTGTAATGCACAGAGTGTTCATTTCTTTTTATAGCAGCTAGTTTTATTACCAGTGAATAATCGTACTCAAGACTATTGACGTCATCAGGATCGTTCCAAAATATCCCACTCGTGGTGCATATGGCGTCGTGAATTTACCTCAATTTTTGATTAGTAAAGCACTGCTGTTGATAATATTGACATTTCGGACGTTCTCAAACATTGAGCTTTCACTCTGACATAAGTTATTTGCCTTTAGTGTCTCTTTAATGGGGACCAGATGTCTTAAGCCTTAGTAAAGCCCTGCACTTAATCATCTCTTTGATAGGCTTGGCACATTCATGTCAGATTAATTCTGTACTCTCCCCATAAGTAGTCATTGACACAGACCTCTTCTTAATATTTCATGCATTTTATCTTGCTTCTCTTCATCCCCCGTGCACTGAAGATTTTCCACAAAGTCCAATTTTTATGATTAAACCCATTTTATTTCATCAACATGTCTTTAAATAAATGCATGGATGGAAACAACCCGAATCATATAGTACTTGCAGATATGCACACTTGGGCAGCAGATGGTCCATACTGATTGAAGACAAGTATTTGCGTTGAAGAATTGCCCGTATTTATTGCCTTTGTGTTCTTAGTTTTTAAAGACAGGGAGCTTGCTGCGAAGAGTTTTGAAAGTTTGAGCTGTTGTCATAAAAGGAGAAACATTAAACTATTAAAAAAGTTTGAGCTGTTGTCATCAAAGTTAATTTTTTCTCTACATATTCTCCCTTCCATGCCATGCATTTCTGACCCTGATAGATGAAATTGCACAGGCTGTCACTGTAGAAAACTTCATTCTAAGATTTCAGCATGAGCTGCATTTGGATTGATACTTCCTTAGCTTCCCACAGGTGTTCATGTTACTGAAGCAGAAATAGTGGTTGTTTTGGGTGGACATGGAGGGCAAAAATTTCATAGCCTGGACACTTGCCCCAGTGTCACTTAAGTTTATGCATTGTCATGGAGAAGACTGGTGCCTCTCTTGAGATTTAGTGTGCCCTTTGCCTCAATACAAGGCGAAGTGCGGTGAGAACCTTGCAAAAGCACCTTACGCGATGGTTTTGCCCCTCTTGGGCATAATCTGTTACATGTACACCACGGCATTTTCACAGAAAGCTCAGCGTGATCCTCCTGACGAGAGCACAGCCCTCGCCTTTTTGGCAATGGCAAATCCAGGTGCCTCTACTGTTTTCTTTGTTATCGTTCACAAAACGGTGCACCCAGCACTTGCCTATAACGATGAGGCAGTCAAGAAATAGTCATCGTTGGCGCTCTACTAGTAATACTCAGCACTCCTGGCAGTGTTTCCTTCTGGAAGTCTTTTTGCATCGGAACCAGCTACTGAAAACACAGTGCCTGACTGTCTTAGTATCGCAGTTTGTTTTGGCAGATGATGTGCACTTAGCCCACACTCACATTAGCCTGCCGCATTATGGTAAAACCTTCTTAGTACAATTCTGTTACGTAAGATTTCCACACACCACCGTTTTTAATTTAGGATGCAACCAATGATTCATTTGAGTTGCACCCCTATTTTCACAGAGTAATAATGCTCTTTCCCCAGGAAATGCAGATTTTTGGCACCAACATTTAGTACCTAACTGAGCTGTGATCGCTTTATGTATTTTTTGGCTGCTACATCTTATGTGAACAATGAAAGCTGCAAGGCACTCGCTATGCAGAGCAGTTACTGTCACCCCATTGCCGCTACCCTGTGGTAGTCATGCCTTTGTGACATGAAAATAGTAGCAATTCAGAGAACGTTCCTAGGTGCTCCCTCGGTTCTATCTGTATAATTTCCTTTTCACTCGCACTATATCTTATATTGGGTTGTAGCATGTCACATTCACAACTACCACTGCAAACCCTGTCTCAGTGAACATCTCAATTACACATGCAACTTATTAGGTTAGTCACATTGGAAGCATATTGCACATTTTTTGCCCAATCATGCCACCAATCTCTGCTGTCTCTTAAACTGATCTCAGTATGCATTGCTTGCATAAATGAAAGCAGCCCTCAGTCAGTGCACTGCTGGGTTAAAAAGCTATGTGCCATATTCGAGCACTGTTTGGACAACTAGTATCCAGCGTTAAAGGGGCCCTGCGACACAAATTAAGCGTGTTGCTTTGATCACTTCTTCCAAAACTATGGATTGCACTGATATTGCTGCACGAGTAGCAATGCCAGAAACAAAGCTGTTATGATTTTATTTCTACGGAGAACCAGTGTTTTCATACTAAATCGACACATGGTGGCTCTTTTTGTGATCTCAAGTGACACTTGAGATCACTCAAGTGACGACATAGACCATGCACTTCTGATTGATTTGCTGCGGTAAGTCGCACGTAATATTCATGCGGTTCTAGATAATCCACGCTGTTGTGAGCTAAATATGATAAAATCACCTTTTATACTTGTCCAGATACAAAAGCATTTCTGTTTTTGAATATGAAAGTGTGAAAACATTTGTGAAACTATGCTAGGAGTGCTTCACAATGGCCACTGCGAGGTGAGTTGCCCGGTATGTCTTTGTAAGAGGTGCGCGATGATTGTAGATGGCCTTTGACGTCTGTGGGAGAGTGAAATGTGGAAGAGAAAATTTTTTCTCATCGTCTGCTGGAGTTTTCAAGTCTGAAAGCTAATAGCTTGAATTGCCTGTACCGATTTTGACAATTATTTTTGTGTTCATCTCAGTACTGCACTTCACAAACTCCTGCGCTGCAGAAGAAAATGCAGAAGAAAATCCATCGCAGGGCTTTTTTAACCGATCTAGTCCGCTGAGCCTGCTTGATGTGTTGATGACTATCTAATCTTCCGTAGGTTCACAATTTGTGTGGCTGCTGGACATCTACGTCCCACCTATCTTTCTACAGAAAAATTACATGACCTCTCGTAGTTGGCACAACGTAAGGGGCTGCTATCTTACCAGAGTCTGTGTAGGCACGAGAAAAATTATTTTATTGCTGTTTGAGAAGCTGGCATTAGTGCCACAATGTCTTTTTTTTTTTAGTATGCACTTTGTGGGATCTCGAGTTGGTGAGTGCCACGCTCTTGGAGTGAACAGACACAGTAGACGCGGTCGGACCGAACCAAACAAGCACACATTTATTTAACTACTTTGGATTGACTATATCGTCAGCCGAATTATTATAACATCAATCGTAATCAACATGCTAAGACGTCCTTACACAATATTAAACAACACTCAACAACATGACAAACAAGGCAGTGTCGCTAACACCTGACTCACCACGTGGGCCCACTGCAGACGGCCTGCGGTGTTGTCCACGGCAGACCCATCACGAGAGACAACCGTTTGCGCCAAACGCCACCAGCTGAAAAGAGACTCTGTAAACTTTCTCTACTGCCACCAAGGCTTGCCAGCCGCCAGGGTTCACCACCGGCACTAGCGCTCTAACAACCATGATGATGATAGCGGTGATCTACGCTCGCGAACACCACGCCATCTACCGCTCATTAGTTGTGACCCCAAAATACGGCTTCTGTGCGAGACACGTGCGCCACGTGGCGCAAACAACTTTAAAGGGGTGTTAGCACCCCCACAACTTTGCTAAAAAAAAAAATTTTTTTATCCGTTCATGAGAACTTCTGAATTTTCGTCTTGTTCAGATTTAAAAATCTGTCATTTTAAGTGACAAATAATTATCTATTTTTCTGGTTTTTAGACAGTCTATTTCAGCCCCCAGACATCAGGCTTGTGCAATGACTAATAAATGTATCGTCTTTTGCTGCGAAATCGCCGTGTTTTTCGCTTTGTCTAAATGTGGAAAATGATACGTGGAATAATTTTCTTGATGTCATATACTACCTCATGAAAAGTGGGCAGATATTCCAGGACAACAGAATTGACAGAAAATTGTGTGTATTATGAGAGACGCATTAGTGGAGGGCTCCAGAAATTTCGACCACCTGGGGTTCTTTATTGTGCACCCAAATATAAGTACACGGGCCTACAACATTTCCGCCTCCATCGTAAATGCAGCCGCCACAGCCGGGATTCGATTCTGTGACCTGCGGGTCAGCAGCCAAGTACCTTAGCCACTAGACCTCCGTGGTGGGGCTATATGCAGTCAGGCAAGCTTTGCAGGAAGAAACCACAGTCCTATGAAGGCTTTTAAGGCAAATGTGCAGGGGCTGTTCTGCCCCTGTAATTAAGATATATGTATACAACGTTCCTCTGCACAACTTGAGAAGTGCTTCTCTGTGTCTCTTGTTTCAGCCGTTGCACCCCAAAAACCCGGTGATGGGATAGCATGATGGTACTTTTGTGAGCCAGTTGAACATATGCGTCCCACTTTTTTTTCAGCAAAGGGCTGACTTGATTTTGATTAAGTTTGTTTTATAATATTTTATTGTGGTTTATATGTATAAATATCTCAGCTGGTTTCTGTACCATGGTGTCAAAGTATAGGCGAACCTATAAAGCATGAATGGTTCTTCTTTTATGGCAACGGTAAAGACTCTTAACAACCTTCACTGCAAGCGCTCTGCCTCTAAAAACTAAGAATAAGCAGGCAATAAACATGAGGAATTGTTCAGTGCAAAGACTCACTTCGATCAAGAAACAGGGACCATCCCCTACCTCTATGTGTATGCTGACAAGTACTTTTCAGATGTGGTTATCTCCATGCAGACCTTCATTCCCAGTGGCATTCTGTGTTAGCAATATGCATCTTTCTTTTTTTTTTTTTTTTTGCCTTGTTACTAGGTGCCTCCTCCTCAACTTGTGGAGCATGGCTGCCCCTTGAGCCGTTTGGTCCAGGAGAAAGGGCAGTTTGTGGTCATTTTTCCAGGCGCCTTCACTTCCACAATTGCATGTGGCTACTCTGTATCTGAATCTGTCTACTTTGCCACCCAAGATTGGTTACTCCAGGCAGCAGAATGCTTTGAGGTGCGTGGTGCAGCTTGTGTTTACAGCATTACCACATATGTATATTGCTAGTCTAACCCTTTATAGAGCCTTATGCTATGAATAATGCATGCCAACTGTTGAGGGCAGCATTGCCATTTGTATCAGCTTCTTATAGTATGTAGCAAATATTAGCTCTCCATTTTTAAGGTTTTAAAAAAAAAGTTAGACATATGAGTCCCACTGCCTTATGAGTCTATCTAAAAAAATGGGACATGTGTGACCTGTTCCACTTGCCACTAAAATACCGTAGTTTCCGAAGAAAAAAAAATTTATTTCATTTTTTTATGCAATCTTGCTGCTGCCTTACAGTCATCATAGGACAGAGCCTACAAACACAAACTTCCTATTACAAAAAAGTTAACTAAATATTCATTGTACATTCACGTGCTATAACGGCACTTGAGCTGCAGATGTGTGTATTGAGCATGCTCTTAACAGCCTGATGTTTGTCCGTGGGAAGCTCAACTGTTTTTTTTTTAATGGGAAGAAACTTTCCTGCATGAAACAGAATGAAAATTCCGTACTGCACAGCCGCACACAATGTCACACTGGCCATGCTTTCGTAAATATATTATTGAATGGTTGTTAATTTTGCATTGTATAAATTTTTTAGGAAACTGTATAGGTATAAACAAAGAAAAACACTATAAATGCACATTTAGGAGTGCGAGTATAAAATGAACTTTTCAAGCTTGAATTTTATGCAAATTCTGAATTGAAGAGGATGCAGTGCGTGCAAGCAGAATGGTTCACTTGGAACATGTGTGTGTGCTGCCACCTTGCGATTACCACCGAAACAACTACCAACATCGCTTTCTAGAAAATCAATGCTGTTGCACTCAAAGTTTGAAAGCCATCAATTCAGTTGATTTGATCTAAAAAATTAGCACACAGTGAAGAAAAAAGGGGGACATAAAAGTCTTGCTGCCCCAAAAAAGGTTGAAGCAGTGCTACTTTGTTGTTGTGTTTTCAATACCAATTATGTGTGGTGTAGTGTAGAGTAGTAATTAAACTTTTGACATTTTCAAACATGCACATATCTATGTCATAGTTATTGAATGCAATACCCACGACATAGGTAAAGAGCTTGTTAGGAAGCTTTGATTTGCATGGCACGTTAACGAAAATGGCCCCTTGATCAATTCTCCAACTGTGTCAAGGTGCATGAACAACCTTTGTTATCTGGCTGCATCTTTGCGCTGATAAATGAAGTTACGCTATGAATGTCATAAAGCACATGTCTGAAATTCAAATCAAGCATGGGGGTAACTTAGTATCATTTGACTCCTCACAGACCACCAGGCAGCATTCAGGAGAAGGTTTTCTGGTAATAATAATAATAATAATAATAATAATAATAATGAGATATCTGGGGTTTAATGTCCAGGTGTTAAAAAAAGGTGTAAGAGATTAAGTAGCGGTGAAAGGGTGAGGCTTCGGTGCAGATCAGATATTTCACTATAGCATGTTGCCAGTCTTATGATTTACCTGAATTTATTGAAAAATGTTGATACACTCTCTTCATTGTACTTCAGGTGAGAGCACCAGTTATTTTTACATTCGCTATCTGTTTCATGCCACTACTGCTTGGTCCTGTGGTACCTGCTTGGGTGCATTGTTTCCGGTCGTTTAAAAATAAAATTAAAAGAGAATACACGAATAAGTATAAAATCACATGTCCATTAAGCTGAGTGGAAGTGGGGTGCTTTATATTGCTGTCAGCTTTATGAAAATTTACATCAGTTTTGTAAAAACAATATTTCAGTTATCATGAGTTGGCATAAGAATGCAAGATGCAGCTCACCATTCCAGCCTCTTGTATCATTTTATGTGTTCGTATCTGCATTTATGTAATTACAAAGGGTTTAAAACAAGGATCACGATTAGACCACTTATATCCACTTATATGGATATACAACCATAAGCATCTAATTACGACCTTACTTGCCAATATTATTTGTTAGATAGTCGTAGCGCATGAAAGTAAGGATGTGTTTAGTGCACAAAAGAAGGGGCACAGAGAGGTGTGGTAAGCACACACTTTGACTTGCCACAGCACTTATTTCAAGTGGAAATAAATGTTCTCTTCTGTCATTTCATGCACTAAAGCTTACATCCTATCATATCAGCACAGCCAAAACGGTATCGTAAATATCGTAAATTGAACTAGTATCGTAATATTAATGAGAACAGGCAATGAGTGCCTGCCAGTGGCAAGTTATCTTTTTGTCCACTTTTCTTATTCAGATTTACATTGCACACACTACTAATAACATCCTTTCTACTTTGTTTGGCATCGTCTTTTTGTTCTCATTAGTATTGTGTCTAACAAAGAAAAACCAGCCCCTGAATTTTCGCTTTGATTGGTATCATGCAATTTATCTTGAAGTGTCATGTGACATGATACAGCATTCCGCCTCATGTGATTTCACATCATTTAATTGTAATAGTAGTGTCGACCTTAACTGTTTGCAGCACATGAAAGCAAGTTGTGAGCCGCCCACATTCTCTTTTGAAAAGTTGATATTGGGAATCGCAACTGAACATCGAGAAAACCTGGATACCTGTCGCTGGACCCTTCCTCTCCTTCGGAAAATGTGGTGGGTTGCACAAGTCTTGTTTTGAAGTGAATAGAATTTGTTTTTCATTTTGCCGAGCTTCTGATGTGCCCACATTTTTCTTTTTTTAAACAATTGTCGAAAGTGACATGTAGTTTTTTTCTTTAGTTCTACCAGAGGTCTTCAGTACTTTTACTGGTCATGAAGCTTCGGCAAAAGTTTGATATAGGGACAGGAGCAACCGCTAGGGGTGCCCTCGCCAACGACGAAGTGTCGGAGCGGCCATGGCGCTGCAATTGTGTGGCATGCGCCAGAGCTGTGGAACATTATTAAATGTAGCCTTCTTCAGAGTGATCTTACCTTCAAGGAAATTCAGGAAAGCTCTAATACAGTAAAATTTAGCGTCGAATGAGGCCTTGAAGCTAGAAATTTGACCGCATGCTGATTCCACTCTAAGAAATGCTACTGCTATAAAAGCATGCTTTTTTTTTTCCTGAAGCATCAAGTGAAAATTTGTGTGCAGTCCAGAGTTCTTCAAGGAATGGTGGTTCCTAATGCGTTGCGGAAGTGGAGTGGTTACAACGTTTGACTGCGCATATCTAACATTTCAAGCTATATATTCGTTCGGGGTTTTATATGAAGATATGTATCTTCAAATTGCCTAGTATTTATTAAACAAACAGCCACTTTGAATGAATCAGTGCATCGAATTTAGCAAGTGATGCGGATCAAGTAATACTTTATATGACTTATGCCTCATTTTCGTGTTTTGTTTTGTGTTGATTTCTCACTACGTCGCTGTAGGGCTTTCCAAGTTCAGTTAGCCATGTAATGTAGTTTGCCAGTCTTTTACTCTGCTGTGTAGTTTACTCATACTGTGTATTTCCTGGCCTTCTTTATTCTTTTCATTGTTATTCTTTTCACTGTTAAGGCGAAAGCCTTACATGCTTCCTTAACTGTGAAAATTGACCAACTGCGTCCTTCGCCGGTGGCGTCAAGATGTGACGCAAAACTTTTCGTGCTCACAACACATTGATATCAAAAATGAACTTTTCACGCTTTACAGCTTATGCAAGTTTAGTACAGCATTTTGGTGCAACCTCTCTTGTTTCGACATCCTAGCAAAGCTTCTATAGGTAACCGGCAATGGTTAGGTGGCGCAGCGATCGGCCCAGCCGTCAGCGCCACGGTGTCAAATTCGCGAAGCGTCGAGGCGGCCAACGAGCCATATCTATTGTGCATGGCGTGAGTTTATCGTGCTGTTTGAGGCTTGTCGGTGTTTTTGCATTGCGGTTTTAAGGTGATTGAAAACATCGATGCCCATTTTCGACCACCAACGCTTGAAAAGGGACGCGCACTGTACGACAACGACCATGTGTATAGTGTTAAAGAAGAGAACATCGCAGCGAAGTGCTTGTCACAGCAAAGCAAGCATGCTTACGACTTTGAATTCCACTTAAGCGCACAAGTACGACCGTATACGCTTCTCGATCAGCTGTCACTTCTAGTTTTATTACTCGAAAACCTCGAAAGCTGTTGAGCAGGAGCTGTCGACCGCCTCTTGTATACAGGAGGAAATATTGTCGGAAGGTAACCAGGATGATTCTCGATGGTGCTTTTTCGCTGTTTTCGAAATGCCTCGAGCATATCCTGGTATTCTCGTTAGGCTTCCAAGATGAGAGGTCATTGGCGCTGAAACATTGAATTGAGAGCAATCAGCTGACACTCAATAACACGGAAACAAGACGTGTGCAAGTGTGCGCGAGCAAAAAGCAAAGATCCGAATACGCGATGAGTGATGAAGCAATCAGCTGACAATACCAGGAAAACGAAACGTGTGCACGAGAGAAGCGGTAATTCGCGAATACTCCACGTGTTACGCGGTGCACTCCAGCCTTATTTCTGTCGTACTAACGCGAGAAAACCTCCGCAACAATGAGCCCATTCCTGCAGTCTAGTCATTGTCCTGGTGCACAAAGGAGCGGCAAGGCACATTGACAAATCAATGCGTGGGAAAATGCGCCGTGTGTCCAAGCTCTTACGACGTTAGTTTTGACGAGTGACAACCACTGTGGGTGTTTTAACACACACTTGTGAGCAGTTGTAAAGTTACCGCGCGTTGAACGAATGCTTCCTGTTATTGCTTGCTTTTGCTCTGATGTCGTTTAACAAAAATTTCTAAGGGCGTCACTTACTTGACGCGTCGAAGAGCGGCAATCCACTTCTGCCGCCGAGTTGCTTCTCACGATCTCGATGGGAAGCGATACATTATGATGCTGACATCCCCTTCTTTGTTGTGGCAATCCTTAACGCACCAGTATCTGCGTTTTTTTTTTTTTTTTTCACCTCTGGCAATGGCTTGTCATTGTCACCTTGTTATTGTCACCTTTTCAACAGGCTGTGGTAAATTCATTGAAAAACGAGGCGCTGCTATGTTGTTGCGCCTGTTCGCAATGTGCACAACGGTGAAATGCCGTGAAGGGCCGCCCCATGGGTTCTAATCACCGCTGCTAGGCGGCGCGATGTGTACAACCAAACTGCATTGCCGGGTGCCTATTGGTAGCCCTGAAGTCTCTGTTGCATGCAACAAATGTGTGCTTTCACAATTTTTTATGCTTTCAAAAGCTGCATGCAGCTCCCCCTGTTTGGCATAACACTTCTACATATTTAATCATCTCAGTGCCTCTATAAAAGACAATGGCAAGCATTTCACTCGTCAAGCTTCTGTATTACCTACCGTATTTGCCCGCATAATCCTCGCACTTTTTTACGCGGGGAAAACGTTCCATGAAAACATACAGGTTTAAAATGAAAAAGAAGTGGCCACAAATCTGAATTCTCACACCAGCAACTAATAGCAAGCTTTGAGAAGTACTAATTAATACCTCATCAATAAAAGCACAGGTTCAACACAAGGCAAGATTTATTTGAGACACAAAAAGTGCAAGCTAATAGTCGAGAATTAGAATACCATACGCAAAGTTTGTGGACGTTGCGGGCGTAGCAGTAGCGTTCGTCGCTCAACAGGAGCCCTCGAAAGGTAAGCATAGAACGTCAGTATTGGGTTAATGGCTATTTAACAAAATCGTCTGCACTTTCCTTCTGAAAAAATAAAGTTTATTATCAATCCTAGCTTGAGGCACACGGAAGGTTCAACTCGTCTTGGTGGCTTTCAGCTGCCGTCACCAGTAGCGAACACAAAACTTGTAGACTCTGAAGGGCCTACCGGCGGCCCTGTTGCCGTTGTTTAGTGCTTGATCTATCACTTTCAGCTTCAAATTAGTCGTGTAACTTCGGTATCGCCTCATAATGTGACAAGATTATTGACACAACATTCAAAACACGCCGCAACGCGCACGTGCCACTTTGGCTTGGCTTAGATTGAATCTCCATGCAATAATAGTATGCTTGATGCTTAAGAGATGGCGTCAGATGGTGCGTGCTATCATCAGTGGTTTGAATGAGCAGACGACATTATTGAAGCAGTTTTTGGGGGTGCAATAATTACTCGATGAAAAAAAGAAATCATATTTTTGTTAGGCGATGTGGGGGGTGCGATAATTATGTGAGCGCGAGGAGTACGTGAGTAAATACAGTACTGACATGCAATGAGGAAGAGGTGACCAGTATTCTCACCTTCATTAAATGTGTCATTATCTATAGCAGCCATGTGAAAAGGGCTCATGCACAGTGTCGATACAGTCTCAACAGTCTTCAGCTCAGCTGATGGTTCCTGGCAACGCTTGGTAGGCGGGCGAGCTTGCATCTTTTTGGTCTACAGTCGCTGATGGATTTTTCGGACTCCAAAAATTCAGACTTGTTGAATATTTCGGACTTCACAAATGCACTGTCAAGGTTCCCATTGCACTAATGCATTATCGCAATATGTTTTTCGGATGAATTTGGGTTCTAAAGTTTAATTAGCCAGACTAAATCATCTGTTCTGAGCTATGCCGCTTCATCTGTGCTCGATTTTGAAAGCTGCCATGTTGGATTTTTTGTGAACTTGGTTCAATTTGGCTTGCAGTGGCTTTTTGTGTGGCCTCCAAGATTGGAAGTGCGCACAATCTTCCAATTTCAGAGGCCATGTCTGATCTTTCTTGGCTAGCAAAATGGCAAAACTTTTCTTTTTCAGTCTGCCTTATCATCATGATTAATATGCCAGTTGGTAGTTTTTATTTTCTGAGCGTTTTTTTTTTTCTGGTTGTCATTGTGCACATGGTCGTGTTAGTGCCAAGTGTGTTTGAGCCATCGTGCACCTTAAATTCTCACTGCTGTTCGTGGTTGCTTAGTAGCTCTCTGGGGGTAATCGCAGTGCTCGGCTGCTGGCCTACAAAATGCAAGTTTGATCATGGCAGCTGCGGTAGCATTTTGATGGTGAAGAAATGATGGAGGCTCACCTACTGTGGGGTGTTGGGGCAGGTAAAAGAAGCCTGCATCTTCTTGCGACCAGTGTCAAGTTTTGTTAGCTTGGTTCCATGAGCCAACAACTTTGCCGCCTGTAACGGTTGGCAGCAGAGATTGCCAATGCGCTTGCCAGCAATGTTACTGTAGCCCAAATAGAACCAAATTTGCTCATCCCCAAGAACAGCATGAAGCATGACATTATTTCGAATTTTTGTAGGCTTTTCTAAACCAAATAAACTTCGTTTTTACGTCTTGACCATTTTTTCAGACTTCGATATTTCGGGCTCTTTTACGGTCGGCGACTGTGTACAAATACACCGTGAGGCTGTGTAAAATCCTTGGCAAGTGTCAGCAAAAGTTTCGGAACGTCGCGTGGTGGCTTCACAACCCCACCTCTGATAAGCCTCTGTTTCACGCAGATGATATCACTCGCGTCAAAGTGCTTTTCGCATACATGCACATTCGAGGAATCGCATGTGAAACACCAGTTTCTTGTCGTGGCATTGCGAGTTCCCACTTTTCCCGCCGTTCACTATCTCTTGGCAGCGAGAACTTGGAGTTTTTTTTGTAATTTTTCTTGTAACCAGATCGACAACCAGGTACACAGCAAGTATACGGCATCTTTCCCGATCTTCAGACACAGCACACTGGGCACAATAGTAATCATACGGTGAAAACTGCGCGATAACACGTCATGATATTATGCACAGACCCCATAGCAGCACGAGAAGCCAGCTTCTCTCCGGTCTGCCCGATGCCCCAGGCGGGGATGCAATGCCGCTTTGCAGCTCCGCTCGCAGCGCACAAAGCTCTCCCATAGAGTTACAGCGAAGCTTCACTACCAGGAAAAATATTGAAAGACTCTGGTTCTACTACACTATACTGCATATTTTTCTGCAGGATTACTGATTATTATAAAAAAATGCTTTTTAGAACAATAATTATTGCTTATAAAATAGGGCTGGAGATTATAGTTTGTGTTAATTGCCAATGCATTTGCTATCCAATAAAATGTTCACTAATTACCTTTTGTAAACAAATATTTTGTGAGTATATCATTGAATAAAGTCAGCCATTACTCATTGTGGAGTTTTATGCTTCTAACATTATGTATAATCAGTGCCAGTTCCTTAAAATACAAACTCAAATGATACTACATACAAGATGTGTCGTCATTATAGTTGTCAGCTTTACATACTATGTTGTTTCATGTAGGGAAGCATAATTGCTTGAACTTTTCTGTTTGCAAAATTTCAAAATGTTACAATTTTCTAAAAATATCAGTGTGATAGCTTTAAAATTTAATCAGTGTACATGGAGATGCTAAAAAGGAGCAGGAGGAGAGGGTGCAGCATCATCTGAATCATAAAATTGTTATCGCAGAGACTACTCATGTTTTGTTTGAATTGAGGAAATATTTGGTTCTTTGTCCGGTCAAGATATTATGAAAGATGTGTCACTTTTAACCTAGGGTGTAAATATATTCCTTATTGATACTACCATTTTTCATGTCAATACAGATAAAGTTACCACAAAGTATGACTCTAAATGATGTTGAGATTTTCATGTCTTGGGGGGGCCCCGCCGCGGTGGTCTAGTGGCTAAGGTACTCGGCTGCTGACCCGCAGGGCGCGGGTTCGAATCCCGGCTGCGGCGGCTGCATTTCCGATGGAGGCGGAAATGTTGTAGGCCCGTGTGCTCAGATTTGGGTGCACGTTAAAGAACCACAGGTGGTCGAAATTTCCGGAGCCCTCCACCACGGCGTCTCTCATAATCATATAGTGGTTTTGGGACGTTAAACCCCACATATCAATCATGTCTTGGGGGGAGGGGAGTAAAAGTTGTTCAAGATAGATCTTTACGTAGTATATAGCATCTGTAACCTGAGCTCAGAAGGCCAGTCTGATGTGTCCCTGAGCAACATGCATCTCATCATGTCTCTAAAAAACTGAAGTTACATTGACTGTGTTTTTATTGCTGTAAGAAACTTCTGACGTGAATAAAGGTCTTGAGATGAGGGAAAAAACACCTAATGTCTATTGTGCTTTGCATGCAGTGAAAATGAGCAAAGGTATCGTACCCAGCTTGTGGAAATGGGCCTGAAGACATTTGAGCGCCTTCGCTTAGATGAAGCAGCAGAACCAAAAAAAGCGAAGCGGCCAAGGTTACGACCTGAAGACAGCAATCACGAGTGTGACTTCTGCCGCATCAGTTGTCATGTCTCCATGGTAGGTGTACTTGTCCTTATTTAGGCGGACTTTAATAAATAATTCTGTCTCTCTTTAAACACTGGATAGCTATGGACATGTCATTGTATTAGGTCTGTGGGTTTTCAATTACACTATGTCATCACCTGAATACAAGGCATAAGATGGAAGTCATGGTGAATCATTTCTGCTAAATCCTGCAATATGGAAAAAGGGTTATGAAAGGCAAAGTTTCCATCCAGTCATTTGTAATTGTCCATTAATTTGCCCTCTCGGACTGCCAACTCCTAGCCTCCTGGTCAGTTCAGTCGGTAGAGTGACAGTCCCACAAAGGTGTTGATCCTGGGTTTGAACCTCAGACCAGGTCAGATTTTTCATTAACTAGAAAGCTTTCTAGTTAACAAAATTACACCATCTCCCACTAAAGGGAACCATGTGGGGATGCAAAGCATCGCTAGTTTTAATTTGTGTTTTCATTTGTTTCCATTTGTATGTTTTCGTGTATATTTCATTTGTGTGTTGAGTTGTGTATATGTTGTGTACTGCTTACGTCACCCCCCTCCCATTTTTGTGTATTACCGTGTGTGAGCTGCAAAGTCAACACCTAGCGCTGCTAGGAGAGTGCAACGGTGCGAGCGCGCGCAGCATTATATACGAGCATACAGCTGTAGCGGAAAGATAAACGGGAGAGGAGAAACGAAGCAAAGGTAGCACTCTGCCACCTCCTCTACTCCACCTCCTCACACTCACGTGGGAAGAGGGCCCTCTGTGACCGTCTGCTCCCCCACTGCGCATGTGCCAACTTTCTCCCTGCTCCTCACTCGCACGCGAGGAGAGGGTAGAGAGTTGGCGCATGTGCAGTAAGGTTGGTCACGCCGCACACTGGATTGAGCTCCATGATAAGCTACTTTGCATTCAAAAGGGGCTCATATATGGGCACCACTAACTACCGTAAAAACCTGAATATAGGTCGAACTGAAATATAGGTCGACCCTCCAAATTATGAATCTCCAAAAAAGAAATTTTTACAAATTACGAAGTATCGCGGCGCACCCTTACCTTGGTAAATACGCAACACAACGAGCTGCACTGTGGTGACATTTCTTTTTATTTGGACACTCAATTTTATGTAGTTAAACGCCAGAAGGCCACAAAGTGCGTTCACTCAGACTCGTTCGAACTTGAGTTCGACGACGTCTGTTTTTTCACTGGTAACGTTCCAAAGAGCATCGTCCTCCGTTTCGTCCAAAGAGGTTACTGATGCAGCATTTGCAGATAGAAGGAAGTACGCCACCTCAGCGCAAATTCCTTCTGCTTCATAAATCAGTGCACCCATGATGGCAATCCCCTGAATTGCACCTTCATGATTGCAGAGTCGCATGCTATCTCAAAACCTTTTACGCGGATGCACTCTGCTGTTACAGGTAGTGACTTTGCACGCAGCTTTCGGACGAATTCGACAAGTAGCACTTCCAGTTCGGGGTGTACTGCAGTCCGTTCATGAAACAATGTTTTTTTTTGGTTGCTGCACGATGTGATGCCCTGATTTTGGCTTCTCCAGTGAGGAAAGCACTCCTTCCACACCCGCGCAGCAGCCAGTCGGAGAGTAGTGGTACGAAGCCATCGAGAATATCCTCACTCAACTGCAGTTTCTATGTACTTCTATGAGACAGCACCGTCTATTATACTGTTCGGGAGATACTGTTGGTTACGCCCGACACAGGACAAAGACGAAAAGAAGCTTAGCTTCTAATAGAAAAAAAAAAACAGCAGACTGACAGCAGATAACCGAGGAAAAAGTGGTGCTGCTAGAACACAGTAGGCTTTGCATAGACTTGCCTAGCCTTGCCCAACAGCGCTGCTTGTGATGCTTACGATGGCAATGGAGGCCTTTGACTTCAGCTGCCCGTTGTGGCGAGACTTTCACATTGCTTTTTTCTAATGACCAGTGTATAAGAAAAGAGTCAACTTGTCATTGCGTTTTTTTTTTCATTATTATCATTATTATGCTCGACTATGTATCCGTTTTTACGATTCGTATATCATTTAGGACTGCTTGCACCGGCTTATTGAGCCATAAGCGGTTGCTGTAGCACGCTGTAGCATGCTGTCTTCTACTGTGCCAGTGCCCCGCTGCGGTAATCTAGTGGTTAAGGTACTCGGCTGCTGACCCGCAGGTCGCGGGATCAAATCCCGGCTGCGGCAGCTGCATTTCCGATGGAGGCAGATATGTTGTAGGCCTGTGCGCTCAGATGCACGTTAAAGATATGTTGTAGGCCTGTGTGCACATTAAAAAACCCCAGGTGGTCGAAATTTCCGAAGCCCTCCACTACGGCGTCTCTCATCATATGGTGGTTTTTGGGATGTTAAACCCCACATATCAATCAATCATTGTACTGTGCCAGTGTGTGTGATATTTTGCCCACTCCTGGCACCTAAATGTTGCTTGCACAGCAGGCATAAGTGCTACACGGGCATTGTTATATGCACAACACTGAGTGTTTTATTACCTAACTCTTAGCACAGTGAAAGTAAGTGGTGCTGAGGTTTGGAAGAAAGATTGAGAGACACGTAAAGCTATGCATTATGTCAATCAGTTAAAGCAGTGTTCATAACTTTCCCAATACTGTTGTATTGTAAATGGAGCATTTTTTATTTGTTTGTTTAGTTATTTAGTAAATACTATTGGCCTGTATATACTAGACCTTAAGCAATGAAGTTCAATGGTGGGTTGCAAAATGTGGTATAATGAATTTTATTAAGAAACAAGCACATTACAAACAATCATAACTGACGAAAAAACACAATTCGTATGTAAAGTGTAACACTAGATATAGCATTATTTTGGATGATGTAATGTAGCAGTGTGGCAAGCATTGGATACGTCACCAGCAAAACATATCGTAGTCATGGAAGGCATCATGTACCGTACAATGGACTCTCACTAAACGGAACCTGAAGGGACCATGAAAATATGTTCCATTTAACAGGAGTCCCGTTTACTGAGAGATGAACAAGGTTGCAGGATGCAAGCACGAAACCAATATTGTCAGAAGCACTTGTTCCATTTAAGCAGCAGTTCTGTTTAACAGATTCCCGTTTGCCGAGAGTCTACTGCATTTACTCACGTAATGAATGTACTTTTTTTTTCTCCAAAAACTGGAGCAATGTTGGGGATGCGTTTATTATGTGGGGCAAAGCTTTTTCAGGGTGAGCAAAAAATGTAATGTGAAAAAAAGAAAGCAAAAAAAGTTACGTAGCTTAGCTCTTCGCACTAGACATAAGCATACGCTGTTTGGAAACAGCTTCTTTGTTGCACTTCACTCATCTTCAGTGCTTGAAGGCACTATTTTCTGCAAGTTGTCCCTGCGCTGCTCGCGCACTCCATAAGAGTGTTTTGCGGCTTTCTTTTCTCATAGTCGTTTAACCACAACAGTGGTATATGCTGTGATCTCAAGGGGCGCTCAGAATCATGCGCTACGACGCACTTTGCCAAACTTATGGTAACCTTGCACGACAACCGCAACGACACCATTGATGCTGCACCAAGCTACTACTGATGCATCAGAACAAATTGTTGATAACAAGATTATTGACAAAATACAGCTGTCGTCTCGCTGTCCACATTAAAAGTTATTGTAAAAAAGGTAGCCTGTATCTTGCATTCGTTGAAGTACGCGCAGATAAAAAGCATGAAGAGCAAATTTCAACCGACACGAGAATTGGGGGGTGCTACGATGCTGCTACCATGTCACCCAAAAAAAAGTCATGATGACTTTGTCACGATTTTTGATGGGCGACAAGCGATTTTTTCTGGCCGTTCACAACAGCCATGGCGACAGCAAACCCTGTCGTCATCGTTGAGAAATCATGAACATGTGGTTGGGCCTTAAAGTTTCATATTTGCAGGAAGCGACAATCTGTTGGCGTGGGAAGTTTCGTGACCTTCACTCATTGTTTGTTTATCAGCTGTGATGTCTATACACTCGCACCGTTCATGAATTCCGCTGTAGCGGAAAGGTAATAAAAAAAAACAGGGGACCTGTCACGTGCAAATAAAAATACAAACAATATGGCACACGGCAGCCGGCGAAGGGGAGTAGGGAGCAAGCCAAAGGGGCCGAAAGGGGTCGGCATAATAATAAAAAAATAAAAGAGATTCAACAGGCAAGGGAGGTGCCAGGTGTCAATTAGCGGGGCTGCAGCAGACGAATGTAGGGGGTGCATTTATTATGTTGGGGGGGGGGGGGGAATCCAGATTTTGACGGCTGAAGTTGGGGGTGCATTTACTACGCAAGTAAATATGGTATCTGACCTATATATTGTCGCGGTACAATGCGAGTAAAACACAGGTACACCTTGAGACAACGAAAGCAGCGTGTTCTCAACAGCTCAGCCACAAGATCGTCTTCTTCGGCCCCGAGGGAAGCTAGAGGCCCACCACCTTGTGCCCACTAAATCCCCCATCATTCTTTTCGTCCACATGTAGACACGCGTCATTTGCCTCTCTCTCAAGGAGCATCGCCCCGATGCGAAGTCTGTAATGCAGTTTGTTTTTTTTTTTCTTAAGTAAAGTCTCACGCAATCACTCGCATACGTAAGGCTTAATACGAACTACGTGAACGAGTTCAGGATGGTGCTGGTGACACCTTATACTATACGAACTGTCGGGAACAACTTCGTAAGTGACATCACTCAGTCGTCGCAACACTAGGTACAGTCCAAAGTATCTTCTTGAGAGCTTTTCGGAAAGTCCTCGTTTCCGTACGGGCGTCCAAACCCATACTTTGTCGCCAGTTTGGTAGACGACTGTCCTGCGGCGAGCATTGTAGCAGCCTGCATCGTACTCTTGCTGCTGGCTGACCCGTAAATGTGCAAGTTGCCTAGCTTCTTCCGCGCGTTCGGTAAACGTGTCGGCGTCCGGGACAATGTCGCCTTCGTGGGGTAACATTGCATCTAACATGGTTCGTACTTCCTGTCCATGAACGAGGTTGAACGGTGTCATGCGGGTCGTTTCTTGCTTTGCCGTGTTGTATGCAAACGTTATGTAAGGCAAGATTTCATCCCAATTTTTGTGTTCAATGTCTACGTACATCGAAAGCATGTCTTCAATGGTTTTGTTTAGACGCTGTGTCAGCCCGTTCGTTTGCGGGTGGTTGGCGGTGGTCTTACGATGCATTGTTCCACTCGGCATCAAGACATGGTCCAAAAGAGCTGCCGTAAATGTGGCTCCTCTGTCTGTGATTACGACGGTTGGTGCACCATGCCTCAGTACAACATTTTCAATGAAAAATCTTGCCACCTCCGCTGCTGTACCTCTCTGGACAGCCTTTGTCTCAGCATAACGGGTCAGGTAATCCGTCGCGACGATAACCCATCGGTTGCCTGCAGTAGAAGTAGGGAGTGGGTTCAAAATGTCCATGCCGATCTGGTGGAATGGAGTCATTGGGACCTGTACGGGTTGCAGGAGGTCAGCTGGTTTAGTCGGTGGTGACTTGCGTCGCTGGCAGTCGAGACAGGTACGAACGTGGTTCTTCACGGCTGTGGTTAGTCCTGGCCAGTAATACCTTTGCTGTACCCTGGCCAACGTTCTCATGTAACCCAAGTAGCCAGAGGTAACCTCGTTGTGGCATGATTTCAGTACTTCGGTGCCAAGGGCTGCTGGGATGACAAGTAGATAGGCAGATCCCGTCGTCGAAAAAGTTCTTTTGTAGAGTACTCCGCCCTGTAAACAAAACGATGACAACTCTCTTGCGAAAACTCTTGGCGCTTTTTGAGATCTGCCACCCAAGTAGGTAATTAAGCCAAGCAACTCAGCGTCGTCACGTTGTTGCTGCGCAATGGTGGTCGTGTCGAGGACACCGAGAAATTATGTTTCCTCCTCCTCGGGTAGGGTTGCCGACTCAGTGGGTGAACGGGACAAACAGTCGGCGTCCATATGTGGCTTCCCTGACTTATGTACGACTGCCATATCGAATTCCTGCAGCCTGAGACTCCAACGCGCTAATCGGTCGGTAGGGTCTTTAAGATCTGTTAACCAACACAGTGAGTGGTGGTCGCTAATTACTTTGAAATGATGCGTGTCTACATGTGGACGAAAACGATGATGGGGGATTTAGTGGGCACAAGGTAGTGGGCCTCTAGCTTCACTCGGGACTGGAGAAGAGGATCTTGTGGCTCAGCTGTTGAGAACACGCTGCTTTCGTTGTCTCAAGGTGTATTTGTGTTTTATTTGCGTTGTACCGCGACAATATATATATGCAGAGAGAAAGGAACACAGCATGACACTTTTTACAATGCTTGGCTCGATGTGTCGATAAACTGGAGCCATAATACAACTTGAAAGTCTGGGCAGTTGATCAGTAGTTTACATTGGGCACATCTGGCACAATATTAAGAAAGCACAATCACTGTATAAGCATCGAATGGAAGAGGTACGCTGCATTGCTTGGTGATAGGGACATTGTCAGTTCATATGTCAATTGCATTAGCGAAAGCTGGAACCAAAGGGCGCTTGCTCAGCTATATTTCAAGGTATGCACTTCCATTCAGTAATGGTAAGGTAGGTAAAAGGAATTCCTGAAATGTGTTGCTCCTGCATGAAAATAATCACCTCCTTTCTTCCAGTGAAAAGAATGAGTGGCGTGCTGTGAAAAAGTTTGAAATAACTGGATTTGGTTCAATATAAGCTTGTTACCATATGTCATATCATTTTCAGCCTTTATAGCAGCATACTTTTTTAAAAGGAACTCTAGATTTGTAGCATATGAAAGAGCCATTGGGAGATTTTTGACCTATACTAATAAAAATGAATCTAGCTGCCTTGCACCACACAATTTAACATCGCTTTAGTATGTTTGTGTATGTGAACATATCCCATACTTTTCCAGTGTATTCACATAAAGGCAGTAGAAATGAATAAAACCTTGCTGCTACATTTTTGTTTCGTCTATTTTGCAAAAAGTGGTGTTATTAGGTATCACTGGTCTGCCCACTTTGTTGATGAGGGCCTGTCTCTGCAAACGCTTGAAGTGTCATCCTTAAGCATTGCTGTCTTGGCAAGACAGCTTTGTATACAAGCCTAAATCTTTGCAGACTACTCCGAAAGGATCTCCTTGCACTGTGTGTTCAGTCAGTCTTTCGAAGTGACTTACATAAGTAGTTCGAATAGGTGACATACTATCACTATCTTTTATGCAGGTTGTGAACATGCAAGACGACATCCTGTACTGCCTGGAGCACGCTGTGCATTGCCTGCAGAGGAAAAACATGAAGTCTTGGAAGCTTCTTTATACCTATGACATGGTATGGATAAAAAGCACTCAGTGTGTTTTACCTCACTTCTAAATTTAGAACATGCTGGCTCAGTAATTTCAAATCAAAAAGTTATGTTTCAGTGAATATCATCATCTCTCACTGGGAGAAATGTGCACTGCACACAGTATAGGCCTTAGTGCGAGTTTTCCTGGTGAATTCATGCTTTCTTTCTAAGATGTGATGCTTCTGAGTGCTGCTCAGACCAGTCATCCATCCCTCTCTTCACAGTATACTTGTTCATTTTCGCATTCCTTTCGTTGCCTGTCACCTCATCGCCTATATTTTTATTTTGCTCTGCCTTAACTGCATCACTTTTATACATGAGTGTAATGGGATAACTGTTCTAGTATTTATATTGTTGGCCTCGTGCAGTACTTACTGTCCACATTTCTTGTCTTGTTCTTTTCTACAAGGATGAACTCAGGTCCATCCTGCGGAAACTTGAGCAACACCTAGAGTCCCAGGAGAGTTCTCAAACAAAGGTGGACTCTGATTCGTCTCCTCTCAAAAAGAAAATAGCCAAGAAGAAGTGAACATGGAAGAAATTGCTGGTCAACACTGTGGGGTTCATGATGTATATTCTATTTGGTGCAGGACTTTAAAAATCAAATGTGTTGACATTGGAATATTACTAGTTATAGGGACACTGTTTATGCTTTTTGTTAGGAGCAAGGGCAGCTTCAGAATATTTCTGTGAGAGGGTTAGAGGTTAAAGGTTTTCTTTTTCATTGGTGGTGCAGCCGGGCTTAGGCTGCTTTCCCCCTTGCACCCTTTAGGTCCCCCTGATTTAGGGCTGATTGCTGTTTGGTGTGGAAAAGTGTCCATTTTGCTTGGCATGCAGAGGAGCTTGTAGAGTTCACTTGCTTATTTGTATGCTTCACTGGTTGTCCAAGTCCTATGCCAACTAATAATGAAGTGAAGCCTCTCAAGTGAAACTGGGGAGTAGGTATAGTACAGGACTGTGATATAGCTGCGTTGATAGGTTACCTCTCAAGGTGATGGGGTATGTTTGTGCAACTGTACAAGTTCTACTTTATGCATATTCCGTGCCTCCTATTTTTAATGAAGTTTCAATGTACTGCAGCTGTGTCATAGCATCATATTTCATTTACATTTTATCAATTTTGCATGTGTTTACTTACTCTGTGGTTCTTGCCCCGCTGTGGTGGTCTAGTGGCTAAGGTACTCGGCTGCTGACCCGCAGGTCACGGGTTCGAATCCCGGCTGCGGCGGCTGCGTTTCCGATGGAGGCGGAAATGTTGTAGGCCCGTGTGCTCAGATTTGGGTGCACGTTAAAGAACCTCAGGTGGTCGAAATTTCCGGAGCCCTCCACTACGGCGTCTCTCATAATCATATGGTGGTTTCGGGACGTTAAACCCCACATATCAATCATCGAACTCTGTGGTTCAGTGAATGGGCTTCATAATATGGTTATATCTGTGACATCATAGTTTGATTCAGGTACTTTCTTTCATGTGCTATGTCATGACTACTTGGCATGTTTCATTTTACTACAGTAGTCTGAAATTTTATTTTCATTTTTTATTTTTTTGGTAATAACTTGAGCACAAGTAAGTGGTACAAAAAAATATGCATTCACAGACACAACACCCTCAGTGTATTTTTTTATTGATTTTTTTCTCCTTCTGTAGCACCTATATTCACTACTGCCATCATAAACTCCGGTAGTTGCTGTTTCAGGAAATAGTTGTCAATTTAAAAATCTTAATTTGGGGTTAACATCAGCCTCTTAACATTCACTTGGAAATAGCAGTGTTAATGCCAGAACAGAATATTATATAAACTTTACAAGAGGCAGCCAGATTCCAACTGTGTTCCGATTTGACAGCCTCAGAAGCTGTTCAAACGTCTAATTTGAGTCATGTGGTTTTATGAAAGTTCAGAAAAACATGTAATTTATTGCTGTGATAGTTCGTACTCTTAAAGGGTTCCTGCAACACTTCTCTAAGTAGCTACAGAATGGATTCTTTAAAGGCGCTTATTGCCTCACGAATTCACCGCCATAAAAATTTGCAAAATCTATCAAATACGAGCAGGGTTACAGAGATTTGTCGCATACTGCTATCGCATTTTCTTTTCTCTTGTCCTAACGAAAGCACTGGAATCAAAGCAGGGAAGGATGGCATGGAGTAATAAAATGTATCGCGCTTTGGGATGTTGATCACTTTTTCTGCTTTTTTTTTTTTTTTTTTTTTTTTTTTTTTTTTTTTTTTTTTTTCAAATGCGCGGTTTTCAGTGCGATCGCACGAGCGCGTGTGGGCTAGTCGCGGCCTCCCACAGCGGCCCCAGTGACAACCGAGGGCACCATGTACAAATAAGCTAATGACTGGTACTAGGCCTGAGACGTAGCGATTTTGAACCAGTAGCGTCATTTGTCGAGAGAAAACGTTTTTTTGCTGACTTCAAAGATTTATTGTAAATTCAAGGCCGTGTGCTGCGCTATAATATTCACAGTCACATGCGTTCTCAGGAGCATCGATTACCAATCAGCAGCGTTTTTTAACCATACTCAAAAAGTGTTGCAGGGCCCCTACAAGAGAGAGAACTAAAATGAAATTCTTGATCAGGCTCAACAGGTGGGTGTATTGCTCTTTGAGAACATTGGCGGTGTTTGTTTCGTGCTCTATATAGAAATTTTATGACCATGCTTCTTTGTTAGTATAAATTATTCTTTCCATTTGATAGCAGTTACCACTTTCCACTAAACAACACACCATTGAGCTGTATGTTTCGTCTTGTCATCCCATTTCCTCTATCGCACAATTTTTTAGTGTCCCAAGTTCGATACTCATGGACAGTCTCCATCACAGCACTATGATGACACAGCAAGTGTAGATGTGATCCTGGAACGCTGAACTCTCCATTGATTGGCACAAAAAACTTCAAAGGTGCTATTGTGTTCTTAGAATCGGCTATCTTGGAATCACGTTTGAACCTGCGGCATTTGCAAAGTGCACACATATTTAGAAAGATTTTTCGCATTCTTTTAGTCCATATTCTTTCGCACAAAAAGACTATAGGGCACTTTTACCTTCTTTTTCTTGATGCTTTTTATCGATATTTATTTCTCTTAAAAGTCCTAGAAGAGTGCAAATGTTGGAAACGATGTTGCAAAAGAAGCACTTCGTGAATTATATGCAGAGTGCTGTGTGTCTGTCTTTCTGTGTCCCCATCTTCCTGTGCCCATTTTGCCATATTTTTTTCGCCTCCCCTATTTTGTACCATTCCGGTGTAATGCCCTGCCACAGCAGTCGCCTACCATGTCAGTCCTTTTCCTTGCAGATAAACGAAAGACTGCAAAGATAGAATAACCCTTGAGTTCGTTTCAAGATAAAATGGTGAGGGGTATATTGCTGCTATAGTACTGCAGGGCATCAGTAAAAGCCTGTATAAGTATACTAGAAGAAATCTACAGCTCATCCAATAAAGAAGGGTGTAAGGCAGGGTTACACGATCTCTCTAGTGCTATTAACCACGTGTTTACAGGAGGTTTTCAGGGCACTAGATTGGGAAGTAAATGGAGAGTACCCTGGTTACCTGCGATTTGCGGATGACATTGCCTTGATGAGTAACTCAGGGGACGAATTAAAGCTAATGATTACTGTACTGGACACGGAAAACTGAATAGTAAGTCTGAAAATGAATACGCATAAAACTAAAGTAATGTGCAAGTCTCTTCAGAAAACGGTGCTTTGCAATAGGTGGCGAGACACTGGAAGTTGTCTGCTTAGGACAGGTTGTAACTGCGGAGCCAAGCTATGAGAGTGAAATAACTGGAATACGGATGAGGTAGATGATATTCAGCAAGCATTCTCAAATCATTACTGGCAAATTGCCACTATCCCTCAAGAGGAAAGGTATATAACAGCTGCATCTTACCGGTTCTTACCATAGGGAGCAGAAACCTGCAGGCTTACAAAGAGGGTTCAGTTTAAACTGAGGACGACGCAGCAAGCAATGGAAAGGAAAATGATAAATGTAACCTCAAGAGATGGGAAGAGAGCAGTGTGGGTCAGGGAATAAGCCGCGGTTAAGGATATCATAGTTGAAATCAAGAGGAAGGAATGGACACGCGCATAGGAAGGATAACCGCTGCTCATTAAAGGTTACTGACTAGATTCCAAAAGAAGGCAAATGCGTAAGAGGGAGACATAAAATTATGTGGACAGTGAGATTAAAAAAGTTTCCAGGTATAACGTGGCTGCAGAAAGCGCAGAACCGTGTTGATTGAAGAAAGGCCTTTGCCCTGCAGCAAGCGTACTTTGGCTGACGATGATGGTGATGAGTACTATGCTCTGCAGGGGTGAAGATAGGATTAATTTCCATATTGTTAATTAGTCTGCACTTCACAGTTTGTCCTATTTCTTCATAATCAAGCAGTATGAATTTTAGTGCCACTGCTTATAAGGTGTGAAGTAAGATTGGTCATGTGATTTCGAACCATGCTTTCTTTAATCAATGTCAATACCTTTTTATTTTTTTAAGAGACATACTAAAGGAGACAAGCAAAAGACAAACTTCTGTCTTCTTTGGTCATAACACCTTGGCATAATGCAAATGAAATACGACGCACATCAATTGTCATGTGACAGTTATTTCATCCCTTCATTGTAAAAATGTGTTCATGGTATGTGTTCATATTGTTAGGCTCAGTGTCTGATTTTTGTTATTGAAGCAGTGTAATTTCTTGACAGATTCTTTACGAAAAAAAAAATGTTATAGTATTCGTACATAATGGTAATTTTACAGAACGTAAGATTTTGCTACTATGACTATTTATTGGAACAGTAAGAAGTGAAACAGAAAGTCTTTGCGACATCACACAGAGGAGACCTACACTCTCTTATTGATGCATTTGTAATGAAGCTGAGGAGGATGTCGTTCAGCTGGCCTAAAATAAGTCAGCTGTAGTAGATGTGGTGTGAAGCTTTTAAAATTTAAGCCTAAACACTATACCTGGCCAGATGTGGTGTGAAGCTTTTAAAGTTTAAGCCTAAACACTATACCTGGCCAGAAGTGTTATTATGTCTAAAGCTTGGTTATATATTTCAACGGAACTATTTCCAAGACGCTCTGTAAATAGGATACTAATGTTAAATATTACAGTGCTGTGAATTGTGTAAATAATTCTGTTGAACTGTGCATGAGCTCACTTTTCATGTAGATACGTATCTTTTATTGTTATGCAGGTAATATGGGCTAAATGAGCTGTAATAACTTTTAAAAAACTAGATTATAATTTGCAAACATATAAGCCAACACAAGCCTTAAGAGTTTAAAAGCCATGCGTTTCAACTTCTGAATTTTGTGCTTTTACATCAAGCCACCTCTACGATTAAATGACATAGTCAAGGAATTGTTCTATGCACTCCAAACAATTCTAAATGGGGACCACTGTGCAGTTTTAACATTGGATCAAGTATTTAGCTTGTGAGACAGTTTAGCCAAAATGTGTCAACAGTCATTGCATCAGCCTATAGCCGCTTGATATGCACAAATTTTACAGCGAAAGCTGTTATGATATCAAAACTTTGGTCACGCACTGCCGTAGTTGGCCGCCGCCGGTGTCTGTAACCACAACACACGAAATTAGAAAAAAAAAAACCTAGTACCAATGACACAGCGGGGCTTGAACTCGGGTTCGCTGGGTGCCAGCCCAGTATTCTACCACGCCAGTGCTTGGGACTTGTTGGCAAACTTGCCTTAGGCAGGCTTAATGTCGGGAAAGCAATCGCATTAATACGAATTATAAAGCGTTTTAAAACAGCGAAAGAACAACCAGTCGTCACACGAATGGCGTAACGAGTGGGTCATCCAATGCTTCAACCCATTACAAAAGCTTGTTCTTGTTCACCTATTAACTGTGGTGCATACCCACTTTGGGCACAATTTCTCATCGTCATCAGCCACTGTGTCAACAATTGGCACGAAACCCTTGCAAGTGTTTAGCTGATACCACAGAAGAATGACGAAAAATAGCATGCGAATGCCAGCCTACTACACAAAAATTTTTACTATTAATGCCATAATGGGTATCTAGCAAGTATGCTTGCAGCAGTTATCCAATGAGAGTTTAGAAACGGCTCTAAAAGGCCGCTCTTCTAGCTTTCCCTGTGACTGTGCTGCACCTTCCGTGCAAGCTGGGCGTTTCTTTAGCTTT